GTTCTGGAGGCAGAGACACTGACAGAGTAGCTTTACCCTCACAGTGACTCTGTGTTATCAGCATTAAAGGGCCGGTATCATGAAAAACTGACATCTTTAAAATATACTGTTCACTCCCCAGTCAATACAGTCCATATTACTGAACTGCAGAAGCCCATTTAGAAATCATTAAATGTGGCCGATCAAGGATGCGGGAAGTGAGGTTGCTAAGGGGGCTGCAGCGCCCCCTATCTTCAGGACTGCAGCTGCTATATATATATTCTAAATCTGCAGTAGCTGCACTGTTTACACACACACACACATATAAATTAAATCAAATAAAATGGCAAATGATTTAGCATGACATCTTTCACATCACATACATGCTGCTTCACCAGCTTAAAACACCTTCCCTGTGGCCAGTCATTCAGCTTACAGCAGTTTAGACCAGCCCAGTTTAGATTACTGCTACTGAGTGTGGATTGGTTGGCATTACTGATTGGTGGATCAGTGGATCAATCAGCTAACCAGTGCTAACAATGCAATAAATACTGCTAACAAATCAGTGCTCAGTAGCAGGAATGCTAACCAATCTGCGTTTGGTAGCAGTAATGCTGACCAATCAGCGCTCAGTAGCACTAACGCAAACCTATCAGCAATCAGTAGCAGTAATAATGCTAATCAATCGTCGCTCAATAGCAGTAATGCCAACCAATCAGCAAGCAGTAGCAGTAATGCTAAACAATGCGCACTCAGTATGAATAAATGCTAACTAATCAGTGCTAAGTAGCAGTAATGCAAACCTATCAGCAATCGGTACCAGTGATACTAACTAATCAGCACTCAGTAGCAGTGATGCTAACTAATCAGCTCTCAGTAGCAGAAATGCTAACTCAGCGCTCAGTAGCAGTAATGCTAACTAATCAGCTTTCAGTAATGCTAATCAATCAGCACTCAGTAGCAGTAATGCCAATCAATCAATGCTCAGTAGCAACAATGCTAACCAATCAGCACCCAGTAGCAGTAATGCTAACCAATCAGCACTCAGTAGCAATAATGCTAACCAATCAGCACTCAGTCATGTCTCAAATGCAATCTGGCTGCAGATTTTTTGAGCCACTGTTTGGTGTCCCTGCATTAAGAGTCACACAGGTCACCCATAAGGTAGATCTGCATATGTGTTCAGGGAATGTTCTGCACACACACACACACACACACACACACACACACAAACAGAGTTATATAATGAGTTGAGGGTGAACTGAGCTCAACCCACTTCACCTTCACTTTATTTACAGTGAAGTTTTTCAGTTGGCGGCACGGCTAACTAATCTTAACAGCTACTGTTCTTTACTGTTCTCTGTTTGCTTTGTTTTTGTAGAATAATGAACACAATGTTAGCTCTTTATTAAACCTGAAGCTAACATGGCTTAGTTAGCCAGTAAACCCAGTGAAATCTTGTTCATCTGATTTTTTATGTAAGGTGAAATTCAATATCAATGAAAAAGTCATATTTAGAGAGGAATTTCATTGTTTATTTTTTTTTAAGTAGTGCATAATTAAGTGGTTAAGATGTAAACAGAGTCCTTCAGAGTGGTTTGGTGTGAAATGTTCCGTTTTAGAGAAACTTACAGAGTCAGAATTGTTCACAGTGGTGGTGACAGGAACCAGACGTCCACCTGTAAAAGCTCCCTCACAGAAAGTTATTACATGAAATGGTTACAAATGTATTTCAATTCATTCATGGTTTAGGGATATATGCAGGGTGCTGTGAGGCAAAGTGGTCCCCAAAGAAAATTTATTATTTCAGATTTTCCACTATTTTACAACATTCCATATAAAACTCAGAAGACACATGTAGGTTCATTTGACAAGTGCACTTTTTTCCTGTATGGGAATAACTCCATCCGTGTTGTGTTTTCCTGAATGCGTGTTCCTTCCAGCTGTGGGAAGGTGATCTACTTTCTGGAAAGGAAGGAAACCTGAAGCTGCAGGTTACTGTGTGCAGGGCGTGTGTGTTTGTGCGTGTTGTGGAAACAGAACAAAAGCTGCTCCAGTGAAACATCATTGAGCTTTATTCTAACAGAATAAAATGTCCTTTACTGAAACAGTGGATCAGCCTGGACCCTGAGGACCCTGAGAACCCTGAGATGAAGACAGTTTGCTTTAGTGCACAGTTTCACAATTCTGAAGAACTGGAACACAACAACAACCTTCCACCAGTAGATCTGAATGTGAACCCCCTCTGGACCCCAATTAGATCTGATGTAGAGAAATCATGGCACGATAGCCAAAAAACAGACAGAAAAGCTGGAAAGCATCTTCTGACTCTTATTTAGGAGGAAAGGTGATGATAATATCAGTTCAGTTTTGATATTTTATGAAGAATGAACAGGACAAGCCTCCAGCAGATGTAGAGGAAGCTCATTTATTTGAGTCCCTGAAATATCACAGATCACTTTCTAGAACAGGCTATGCTTTTATTGAGACCCTTATTCTGTTTATGCTGCACAGTTTGGTCATTTGTTTAGTTATCTTGTTTTGTTGGGTTAAATTATGCGTCTTTCAGCTGAAGACAAGGCTACTTATTACGCACTGAATATTTTGTTGTTTATTAGTATATAAAGTTGTTGGCTCAATATTTTGGTCTCATGTGTTGCATACATTGTTATTATCAAAGTGTTTGTGGGGACGGGGCACCATTACTGTACTGCCCAGAGGCACCACATGATCTTAATCTGGCCCTGCAGCCACCAGACTGTGTTCAGTGAGTCAGACCAGAGTAAACTGGGCTTCATCTCAAACAGCAAACATTAAACCCTCTCTGAGGGTAAGGAGGGCCAACAGCAGCTCCCTCTCTCTTTAAATCCACAGCTTTTTCATAATCAAAATACCTGGTTCATACAGAACTGTGGACCATGTTTGAAATGGAAATATGTTTGACTGGATGTAGTTTACAGTGTTTACAGCAATATGACTTGCTAGTCATATTGAGTGAGCTAACTTGCTAGCTTGTGTGGATGATGGATGCACATCATGAAAACTATAAAAGCATGAAAGTATAAGCCTACATTTTATTCTCATTATAACATTTAACAGAAGTAAGAAACAGCAAACAGTGTGTCAAATTGATTGCTGCTCCAGATGTGTCTGATACAGTTTCAGGTCTTTTCCTTCATTTCCAAAACACAAATGTCAACCAGCAGCAAGAAGAGATCCAGTACAGCAGAAAACTTGTACTCTGAGCTTGAAAATGGTTTAAAACTGCTTATTTGCTGTCCAAGCAAGCAGATATTTACATCATAGCTAAATAGCATTAAGGATGCTAAGTATCCAGCTCCCAAAGAAGTGTTAATCATTTGAGCACGACAGCAAAATGAAAAGAAATCTGTATTATTTGGTCATTCTGGTGACGTAGAGCACAGCATCTTGTTTTCAGTGGCTAGCGTTACTGATTAGCATTAGCAAACCAAGAAATTTCATTAGCCAGCAGCTACACTGGTTTAAGGTTCAGTGTGTAAGATTTAGTAGCACCTAGTGGTGAGTTTGCAGATTGCACCCAGCTGAACCCCCCTCCCTCACCCCTCCTTTTCTAAGCATGTAGTAGAACCTACAGTGGCCGTCAGGTTTTCTGCCGTCGTCTGTCCCGATATAGTTTTGCTTCTTCACGTTTTTGCTTCTTTGACGGTTAGGATTCACCCTCTATCACTTTATCTTGTGCTAAATAATAAGTCTTATCCTCCATGTATCAAAATTTGGGTTCTTAAGCTTTTCACAACACAAAATGGTCAGCCAGAACTGACAGCAACCACTGATTCTTCTTTTTTCGTCTTCCATCAAAGTGCAACCAAATTCAATCTGCCACTTCAGCGTAAAAATGTGAAAGGCGCCCTCTATAGCCAGTGTTTGTCCGTTCTGGGCTACTGTAGGAACATGGCGGCGGAACATGGTGGCCTCTGCTGGAAGAGGAGCCGCTCAATATGTAGATATGAAAGGCTCATTCTAAGATATCGAAAACACAACAATTCAGAGTTACAGGTGATCATACACTAATGAACACATGATTTTGTCACTATATTCCAGAGGTCACTATCAGGCAGACCGTGGTCCGTGTCTGGACCCAGACGCTGTCCTATTCGGACCTGGACCTATAACCAATAAACAAAAAGGGAGAATTATTTAATTTCGACAGGGTGGTCCTATTTTAATTGACGTAACTTTTCTAGCCTTTACGGTATGGCTTTAGCGGCCCGGGAAACTTAGAGACCAATCCCATGCAAATGTAAATGTAAATATCACATGTGATGCTACTCAGCTAATTTGATCTGTGTATTACAATGAGCACTGAGACTCGAGTGACTGGTGCACACACAGGGGAGGGATGAAGGGAGAAACAGCAGTCGGAGAAGAAAGTGAGTCAGAAGGAGGTTATTTCACATGGCGTGTTCTAAAAAGAGAAAACTGACAATAAATGTTGTTGAAATGTTACTGAATTGTACTTTATTGTATTTGTACTTAATTGTATTTGACATTCAGTTGTTGACTGTATAAAATGTTGATATACCTACCAGGCTACTTCAGTTTACAGTATATGGCACTGAATCATGATGCAAATTAGACATTATGATGTTCTGGACCTTTGCTTGAGGAAATTTTCTCTAACTGGACCTTATTGACTTTTAATTCAATACCCCTGCTATATTTAATTTCTGCTGATATATCCGCCAAAATCTTACACAGTGCATTTTCACATTAGGAAAATGGACCAGTTAATTTGGTCATCTTTGAGCACTTAGCTAGTTAGCTAGATAGGAAATAACATTGTACTTAAATAATGTTAGCTAAATTATTGGTAGATAAAGAAACAGTGAGTGTAAAATTATGGTCAGTGTTTGGCTAATTGTGATGGACTGGTCTGGACCAAAAGGCCAAAAGTCTGACAATCCATCTGCTGACTGTTGAAATAAACCTTTACTTCAGAGAACAATCAGGACTACTGCATAAAGAAACACAAACAACTATAGAGCTGAAATCCTTTATTAAAACTATTTCCAATCAATTGATATACTCGCTGTACTACTCCAAGGTCAGAATGTACCTGTTGCTATGGCTACAGGACAAATAATCATCTATAGCATTTATCAGCTATACACAGCCTTGTCTTATTATTCTACAGATGGATGCTACTTGTTGTGCTGTGTTAACACTTTTAATGATCTAAATATTCCCTGCAGACTGAGATGGACAAATGATGAGGTCACAGTTTGGTGTTCTTCTTCTTGATGCGAGTCTTCCTCTTAGTTTTAGAGTCAATGATGAGCTGTGATTGGCGTTTAAGTGACGCTCGAGTAATGACATCACCTTCATCCTCACCGCTGTCTTCCTCTTCTGTACAGAGAAGGAGGGGGAGGGGGGACATGACATGGTCAGCTGTGTATAAAGAAATGGGCACTTTATTCGCTCCACTCACCAGACTGTAGTCCATCAGTGTACCTGTATAATTCGATAGCTCCTCTTTGTTTTGTTCATCAATGGTCAGGACCCCCACAGAGCAGGTATATTTTAAGCTGTGATTCATTTTTAGTACTCTGTCTAGAGGAACCAATTGCCTATAGTGCCCTAATGTGTACATCTCAACAACATTTGATACATTTGATGGTTCAAGACGTATAAAAACAGAATAAAAAAAAATCATGTTAAGCAACGGTCAGCTTTCGTTGTGATGGCTTGAAATGCTATACTTGTTTTTATTTGATGTCAAAAGACCAAGCAAAAAGATAATATACTATAAATTTATATAATAATCATATTTCTGTGTGTAACAGTATGCAAAATACAATGGGGCTTGTGTTGCATTTATCTGACAATATCAGATAAATGACAATATCTTTGTCATTTCTGTCATATTAAGAAATTTCTGTGTTTTCTGTGTTTTTTGGGTCCAATATGTTGATAAAGTATGTCAAGGTGAAAAAATAATTGTCAGGTCATACAGGTGATATTGACAAAAATTACATGTTTGGCCTGTTGTGTATAAAGGCAAAATCCAAAGTATTCAAAGTCTCACAAAGGTTAATTCAAATGGAAACTGATATATATAAATATATATAAAATGTAAATATAATGTAAATAAATGTAAATAAAAACAGAATGCAATGAGTTGGGTCAGGGGCAACAAAAGGCTGGACAAGTAAGTAGTACTAATAAAAAAACAGCTGGAAGAGCAATTTGCAACTAACCTACAAGACTGGGTATAAAAAGAACATTTAAGAGAGTCTCTCAGAAGCAAAGATAGGCAGAAGTTTACCAAACTCCCACCATCTGCAGTACATAATATCATGAAAAGATTCAGAGAATCTGGAGAAATCCCTGTACGCAAAGGACAAGGCTGACAGTGAATATTGGACGCACGTGATCTTCAGGCCCTCAGGTGGCACTGCATTAAAAACAGGCATGATTCTGTACTGGAAATCACTGCATGGGCTCAGGAACACTTCCAGAAATCATTGTCTGTGAACACAGTTTGGCGTACAATCCACAAATGCAAGTTAACGCTGTATCATGCAAAAAAGAAGCCACATGTCAATCCGATCCAGAAATGCCGCCATCTTCTCTGGGCCAAAGCTCATTAAAAAGAGACTGAGGCAAACAGGAAAACCGTTCTGTGGTCAAATGAATGAAACTTAGAATTTTTTTTTGGAAACCACGGACACTGTGTCCTGCAGACTCAAGAAGAGAGGAACCATCCAGCTTATTATCAGTGCACAGTTCAAAGCCCTTCCAGACAACGTCTCTTTCAGGGAAGGCCTTGCATATTTCAGCAAGACAATGCTTAACCACATACTGCATCCATCACAACAGCATGGCTTTTCAGAAGAAGAACAAAGACCTTTCACCAATAGAAAACATTTGGCGCATTATGAAATGAAAAATCTGGCAAAAAGCAATTGGTGTCCTCACTTCCCAGATGTTTACAGACTGTTGTTACAAAAAGAGGGGATGCTACACAATGGTAGACATGACCCTATTCCAACTTTTTTGAGATGTGTTGCTGCCATCAAGTTCCAAATGAGTTGCTGTTTTTCATGAAATGGTAAAATGCCTCACTTTCAACATCTGATATGTGTTCTATGTCCTATTGTGAATAAAATATGGGTTTATGAGATGTGCAAATCATTGCATTCTGTTTTTATTTACAATTATTTACATTATATATATATATCGCTGTTGTTGGAAGAAAACATTGTATCTCCAAAATTCTAACTTTATAGCAGAAGGAAAAAACATTATTTTAATGTAATAATAGAATTGGTCAAACAATTGTTTATTTGCTGGATAACAATGAATCCACGTAAATAGAAGGCGGGTACCTAATGAAGTGGGCAGTGAGTAAATGAGTGCATGTGTGAGCGTCTCACCTTCGTAAAGGTCAGCTCTGTGGGTTTCAGGCAGAGTGATGCGGGTGTTGTAGTGCGGAAGTTTCCCCTCAATACTGGCCAGGAACTACACACACACATTTATAACTGTCAGCAGAGCATTGTGGAAGAGATTCCCCTCTGCATGCCAGCCCCCCACAACCAACACAGAACAGCAGCAGCTCTCACTCATCATTCAGCCATCACACAGATACAGAATTTCATTTTTATCAACCAATCAGAACTAAGATAGAACTTCTATCGTTTCATGAGCAACGCGATTTTTGCATTTACGGAAAAGGTGGGTAAAAAATGTTAACATATGTAAACTTTTATTGTTTGCAACCAAGACAACCATGAACTGCTGTGAGAGCTGAATGACCGTCTACAGATTACATCACATGCGGCAATCATCGGGGTCCAAGCACTGTGTGTCATAATGGAGCCAGTAGAACACAAATGATGGGAGTTTTTATAATGTTTATGTTTTATGTGGGATCTTAAAAGGAGATCTCAGCCAAATTTTATACTCACTGAACATTTGACCTTTGTGTAGAAAGCAACAGATTTTTTAACATATAAATCAAAATATGTTGAAAACAATAAGATATTTGGACATGACATGTTTATACAGACCTCCTTAACTCAAAGACCAAAATAATTCCAGAATAATTATAACTGTATTTCAGTCTCACAGTGCACTATAAGTTTATATTATATTTCTTTTACGTCTGTCACTGATACACTTTCATTTTTTCACTTGATATGTAGCTGTGCTTTGTTTTATGTTAATTTCTTTGTATGTTGGAAGGAGCTTATGAATAAATTATTATTATTATTATTATTATTATTAACATCAGTGTGTGAAATCAATGTGAGATCAAACAAAATCCTTCATGCAGTCACTTACCTCCTCCTCCTCCATCTCCTTCAGCAGGGTATTCAGATCTTTACCCTGTAGCTCCTCCTGAAGGCGCTGCAGTTTCTGCTCAGCCTGATGCAGCTGCTCCACGACACACTCAGCAGAGTCCAACCGTACATTCACCTCCGCCTCGCCCTGGGGTTTACATACATATGCAAAACATGCAGTGTTTAATCTCATTTACTGTCCTTCATTTAGCATTCTGAGGTCTAAGAACAAAAAAGGAGGCAATCAGGATGAATCACAGTTGTTGGGGGGGGTTCTTAGAGGTGATGAGTGTATGTACCAGTGAGATGTGGTGTAGTTTGTCTGTTAGATGTTCTACTGCGGCGCTGACGGTGGTGAGTGTGTGTGTGAGCGAGTCCAGCTTCTCTTTAGCTGCATCTCGTCTCTGCTGCTCCTCCTGCAGGTGCCGCTCAGCCTCCTCCAACACCCGCCTGGCACTGTAACACAAACACACACACACACAGAGTGCAAACATAAATTAATTAATTTAATTGTATTAAAGGGCCCATATAATGGAAAACTACATTTTCTCCCTTTCATGATATAAAAGAGCCTGTTCTGAATTCACTGTTTTTGTGCTATCACAATAAACCAATACATTTACATATACCTGCCTATACTTTCAGAAAAAAGTGACTGGGGTGGTACTCTCAAGGGTACGTCTTCAGTACCTTTAGAGCCACCTTAATTGGTGGCTGTTACTTTGGTGACTTGATTAACCGTCACCAGCCACAAATCTACTGTTCAGTGTGTGTGTTACCTGGACTGTTTGGTCTCTCCTGAGAACTTCATCTCCTGAAAGCGTGCGAGCAGTGTGTCTCTCTCCTCTTTCAGCTGCTGCAGCTTCACCTCGTTCTCCACCTTCATCTTCTCAAGGTGCTTCTGAGTGTCCTGCTGAGAGACAAACCTGTCCACCATTTCCTACGCACACACACACACACACATACACACCCCCACACACAGGTGTTATTTCTAGAAAATGCTCCAAGTATTTCAGTCCACTACAAAGCCGCTGTGTGTTTGAATCTGACCTGTGTGTTGGTCACCCCAGTAACCTCTCGGATATGCTGGAAGGCCTCCTCAAAACTGGAGATGACTCTTTCCTCCTCTCCCACTCCTGTAGCACTGTGCTGGGCCTCACTGCTCAGCTCATCTGGGTGCAGTGCCACCCGCTGGGCCTAAGGGGGAAAGCAGGGAGTTGGAGAACAGAATGGCTAACATCTAACTGTGGGGTTAGAGTGGCTGACTGTGGGGTTCGAGCGGCTGACTGTGGGGTTAGAACAGCTGACTGTGGGGTTAGAATGGCTGACTGTCTGACTGTGGGGTTAGAACAGCTGACTGTGGGGTTAGAACAGCTGACTGTGGGGTTAGAATGGCTGACTGTGGGGTTAGAACGGCTGACTGTGGGGTTAGAATGGCTGACTGTGGGGTTAGAACAGCTGACTGTGGGGTTAGAACATCTGACTGTGGGGTTAGAACATCTGACTGTGGGGTTAGAGTGGCTGACTGTGGGGTTAGAGTGGCTGACTGTGGGGTTAGAGCGGCTGACTGTGGGGTTAGAACGGCTGACTGTGGGGTCAGAGTGGCCGACTGTGGGATTAGAGCGGCTGACTGTGGGGTTAGAACGGCTGACTGTGGGGTTAGAACAGCTGACTGTGGGATTAAAACAGCCGACTGTGGGATTAGAGCGGCTGACTGTGGGGTTAGAACGGCTGACTGTGGGGTTAGAACAGCTGACTGTGGGATTAGAACAGCTGACTGTGGGTTTAGAACAGCTGACTGTGGGGTTAGAATGGCTGACTGTGGGGTTAGAACAGCTGACTGTGGGGTTAGAATGGTTGACTGTAGGGTTAGAGTGGCTGACTGTGGGGTTAGAGTGGCCGACTGTGGGATTAGAGCGGCTGACTGTAGGGTTAGAACAGCTGACTGTGGGGTTAGAGTGGCCGACTGTGGGATTAGAGCGGCTGACTGTGGGGTTAGAGCAGCTGACTGTAGGGTTAGACACATTATAACTGTGTTAGCAGTGAGACTCTATGTTCAGCAGTTCTGTAATGTGTGATGGGAAACAATGCACTAGTGTTAAATATCTCAGTGACATTTTCTGCACAATAATGTCCATGCCTGATTGTAAGCCTGTAGTGAGCTGTGGTGAACAGACAGGCCATATCAGTAAGCAAACAACAATAAATCATCTTTTCGCTTTTGAATGCACTGTGTGAACTGTGCCTGTAGTGAATGATTTGATTGTGCGATGGTGTTAAAGATCAGTCGTGATATTGAGGTCATGTGACTCACTCTGCGCTCTCCTCTCTCAGCCTGTGCTCTGCGCTCTTCCATTTGTTTCTTATATTGGTTCAGAATCAGCTCTCTGTCTCTGCGCTCCCGATACACCTGCTCCTCCTGACACTGCAGCTCTGCCTGAAACACACACACACGCTCAGTAGTAATCCATGACGTGTTTCCAGTTACTTCTTTTAAATGTAATGGGATTACTTTACAGATTACAGCCTGTAAATATAATCTCACTACTCATTACTCTAAAGCCCAAACCCAAACACATCTGTACATACAAACCCAACAGGCCTTTCAGCTCTTTATTTACAAACAGCTGATAAACTTCATCTAAAAGCTCTTTAAACAGCACACAGTCAGTTCTACTGATTACATTCAGCAGCTGATGAAAACAGCTGAAATAAACTGTTAGTGAATAAATTGTAAATGTTACAGAGCTGACTGTGAGTGTAAATGGAGTCTTGTGAGCTTCTCTTCTTCAGCACGGAGATCTTTATCTATCAGTTTTATTTTAGCGTGATTAGATGATTAGACAAATCGTTGGCTGAGTTTACAGAGCTTCCTGTGCTCACACTGCGCTTATCACATTGACAATCAGAGTCACACAGGCAGCACACACACACACGCACATGCTGATCACATACATGCACACACGCATAATCTATACAGAAGAAACTTACGATTTAAACATACCGTGCATATTTTGTGCTGTGACATTGTAGGTTAGGCCTGTTTTCTCTGGTTTTCCTACAAAATTGTTAATAACAGAGTTGTGTGTGTGTGTGTGTACCTTGGCCGTCTCCTTGGCCAGGTGTGCATCGTTGTTCATTGCCTGCAGCTCTCGGAGCTCCTGTTTCTTCCGTAGGATTTCAGCCTCCATCTGGTCCAACTGAGGCTGAAACGTCAGACTCTCCTCCTAATGCGCACACACACACACACACACACACACAGGTTTGTTTTTAAACAACATCAGGAAAGAAAAAAAAACTGTTTGTGACAATTGTTGGGCTTGTTGACAAAAACAGACAAACAGACTTTGAGCTGGTCTACCATCATACGTTATGCTTTCTCCAGGTCCAACTGCATGTCCTGCATGTCAAACATCTGGAGCATCAAAGACCAGTTAAACCATCTAAACCAGCTACCTGCACTGATCATTTAACAAACACTGCCTCAGTGCACTCATACAGAGGCGTGTTACAAAAGTGTGTTATAGTGTGTGTTACCTGCAGTTGCTCCTTCATTTTCAGGTAGCTCCTCATGATGTGCTCGGCCGCCTGGGACTTCAGCTGTACTTTCTCCAAACGGTTCTCCAACATACGCAGGTTCTGCTGCACAAACGCGTCACAACACAGCTGATTTAGAGAAGACACTAAAATTGAGTTTATTGCAGCTAACAGTAATATAAGAGCATTAATTATGATAAGTAGGTATAGTAGAGATGTAGTAAAGGTGTCGCAGTGAGGGTGTAATGGAGGTGTAGTGAGGGTGTGGGGAGGTGTAGTAGATATGTAATAAAGGTGTAGTGGAGATTTAGTAGAGGTGTATAGGGGTGTAGTAAAGGTAAAGGTGTAGTGGAGGTGTAGTTGAGGTGTATTGGGGTGTAGTAGAGGTGTAGTAAAAGTGTAGTGGAGGTGTAGTAAAGGTGCAATGGAGGTATAGTGGATGTGTAGTGAGGGTATAGTGGAGATGTAGTGGGGGTGTAGTGAGGGTGTAATGGAGGTGTAGTGGAGGTGTAGTGACAGTGAAGTGAAGGTGTAGTAGAGTTGTAGTTGGGGTGTAGTGGAGGTATAGTGGACATGTAGTGAAGGTGTAGTGAGGGTGTAGTAGAGATGTAGTGGGGGTGTAATGAGGGTGTAGTGAAGGTGTAGTGAGGGTGTAGTAGAGATGTAGTGGGGGTGTAATGAGGGTGTAGTGGAGGTGTAGAGGAGGTGTTGAGACCTTTTGGGGATGAACCTCAGCCTCATCCCCTTCAGTCTGTGGAAGAGTAAAACACATCAGTCTCCAGCACTGAACATAAAGCAACTGTTAATTTGTATCTGTATGTTTGCGTGTGGATGTATGTGAGTGTGGTTTTACACAGACCATGTTCATCTGCACTGAGTTCTGAGGATTTAGGAAACAACAGCCCCCGTTCACACTGCAACATGCATCCTGGTTGATCTGGTTATAAGCGGACAATAACATCTTAACTCTGAAAGCTGATGTGTTTAGTCTCCATGGCGACTTCAGTATGGACTGAATTTAGGACAGTAGCTCTTATAGAATAACAGTTCCTACCTTTATAATCTTATCATTAACTCCAGATAAGAAAACAGTATCACACAAACATCCTAACTAGACTAAACCTCCTAAATACTGTCCTAACTTTAGGATAAACCCCAACAGTGTCCTAACTACTGTTTTTTAATCAGTAGCCATTTTGTCGAAAAAAAAGAAAGTTAGTTATCGTCTTAGCGACAAGCCGCATAACGAGTTCACTGTAACTAGCATAATGATGTAACTTTCGTTTACACTGCTAAGTGGTGGTGTGAGAGTGAATCCCAGGTGCAGCAGACACATTTTCCCACCGTTCCTTCTCAGTGAGATAATGTTGATGATAAAATATTAGAGTGATGGTGGCGAATAATAAGGAGAAAGTGCTGAACTTGTGTCTGCTTATTAGACTAGCGTGACTCGCACGCTGATTAACACCAGAGACATTATAAATGAGGACATGGTCACTGGCCCTTCCAGAAAAATACTCGCTGGTTGCCCCGCGACTGGAGAAGGGTCTATGCTATAAGATAAAATTCCTAAGATCAGATTTGCTTCTGTAATACGAATCTGTGAAAAACCTTATCTTGACCTGTCAGATCTTAACTTAGGACTAAACAGACATATATCTCACTGTACACTTATGATTAGACACTGAGATGTTAATGTCAGAGATGAACATGGCGAAGAGACCACCATAGGACCACCAATGTCCAGATATTATTTGGCACATCAGCGTGTTGGGTTGAGAGTGGACAGTCCACCCAAAAACACCCAGCTGATAAACTGTGCAGTAACAGATGGACTACAGTCTGTAACTGTACACCTACACAGTGGAGCTATGAGGGAGGTGTTTTTGATAAAGTGGCCACTGAGAGTAGCTAAGGAAGGAGTGCATAATACAGTAATTGCCCAAAATGTGGCTAACCCTTGGATTTGGCATGCCAGAAAGTTACCGTAACCAATGGCCACCCCCCACATACACATAACGCAATGAGAGAACAAATTCTGCACTGGCAGCTCAGCGTGTTGTTATTTGTTGCTACTCCACCTCAACCCAAAAGTACTGGATGGTGCCCCATCATTCCAGAGTAGAGCATCACTCTGGAAATTTTTTTTAATGCAAGTAAATGTGGAATTCTTTCATTCCAAGTTATTTTTGGGTCATTTCTGTTGACGCATTCATCATGATTCATAATTTTTACACATTGTAAAGGGTATACTCTTAAAAAAGGTGGTTTGTCCATGGTTCTTTAGTAATGAAATGGTTCTATGCAGAACCATGAACACTCAAAGAACCCTTTCTATGCTTAACTGGTTCTTTGCATCATAAAAGTTAATTAATGTCCTCACTGAGAAAAAAGCAACGGAATATTTGTTTGGGGCAAAAATAAAAACAACTGGTGTTATTTTCTTTTCGATTTTTTGACCCCACAATTTTTAGTTTCATTTTAAACTTTTACTCTCTAACCACCTCCACTCTGCAACTGTTTTACCTGATTTTTTACTATTATTGCCTTATGTTTATTTACTTATTATTATTCATATTCTTATTCTTATTTGAATCATGATTATTTTATTATTATTTTTATTCTCCTTTTATTTTATTTTGATTTGATTTTATTAACTTTTACATTTTAGCTACGTTTTAATTATTGTTTTTAATAATATTTTCTACTGTATTTTTTTGTTCTACTGTATTTGTATTTTTATTATTGTTTAATTTTTTTATACTTACCTGATATGAGTCATTTTTTTAATTAAATTTACTTTTATTATTTGACATGTTCTACACATGATCAATCGCTTTTCCTGTATGAACTCAGCAACATTGTAAATGAGGGTCACCCTCAATGTTCTCCGAGGTTAAATAAAGTTTGATTGATTGATTGATCGAAAATATTCACGTCTACCAAACAGTCGAGATGGCACTTTGTGTCATATATAGTGACTCAAAATGTGCTCTACCAAATAGTTGAGCAGAACATTAAAGGATTAAGATTGAGAGAATGTGCTGTAGATGGTTCTACATAGCACCAAATAGTGTTCTTCTATTGTTACGATATCAACTTGTAACAAAAGAAGAACCCTTTATATTACCATATAGAACCATTTTAAAAAAGGTTTCCTGTAGAAACAAATACAGCACATTCTCCGCCAACCGAAAGAACCATTACACCACGTAGAAAACCATTTAATCAGGTTCTGTTAGTGTTCATGGTTCTATATAGAAGCATTTTCTTTACTAAAGAACCCTTGAAGAACCATATTTTTTTAAGTGTGTAATTTTAAATTATGCCAAAATGAAAAGTGGAAAAGAAAATGGAGCAACGAGGTTTAGTCCTGACAGTGATGAGAAGTGGGTAGTTGAGGTCTGAAAAGTAAATAACAATAATAATAATAATAATAATAATAATAATAATTAATCCAACTGCCTGCACTGCTCAGCTGTAGGTTTGAGCCAATGAGAGAAGCCAGGAAACTGGAACACAATCCTGGGAGGACTTTTACTCTGTGGTACTGGAAGACCCATCTCTACTCCTGAGAAATCTATAACATAATAGTGTAATGTATTTTGAATATATGACCTTTTGTATGAAACCTGTGTGTTACCGTGGTGATCTTCTTGCCTGTGGGCTTCTCCTCTCCGCTCTCAGACTGTCGTACTGAGCTCGCAGCTCCTCCAGCTGCCGCCGCTTCATCTGTGTGGTGTGTTTCATAGCGTTCAGCTTCTTCACCTTATCACACACCTGCTGATCCAGAACCTTCACCGCTTCCTGAACACAATCAGCATGAATTACAGAGCAGAACATACACTGTGGGCCGGTTTTTCAGGCTCAAATGTAGTCTAAGCCTAGACTAAATGAGTTTGGTCTTAGACTGAGCATGCATGCCCCAAAGTCTGTAGACTCTTACATGAAGGTGTTACTAGTGAGTTTGTGCTGCAGTAACAGCCTCTGCTCTTCTGGGGAGGCTTTACACTAGATGTTGGAACATAGCTGTGAGGATTTGATTGCATTCAACCACAGGAACATTAGTGAGGTTAGGTACTGGGGCTGGAACTCACGGAACCTTTCTTAAGAAAAAACTTGCAAAGGTTCTCAAGACAAACACTAAGAAGTTCATATGAGCTTAAGCTCTTATATGCAATTCTCGAAAAAAGTTCTCAAATATTCTCTTAAGAAAACCTTTGTTGTTTTCTTATGTCGGCTCGGTTGCATTTTACAGCTTACCATAAACAGCATCGAGACACATTCTGAATTTGTATTCGCTGTTGTTTCCGTTATTTGGTTTAATTCACTCAGATGAGCAAAATGGAGGAAAGACAACAAACTAAACATTTAAGAAAATTAGCCAAACAAGATCGAGAGGTGACGGAGGAAGAAACAGCCAATAGGAAAAGATCCTCCTTAGAAAATACAATAAATGTGCGAGTGACGGCGGAAAGAGAGAGACGAGGATGAGGAGCAGCAGAAGCAGCACTGAGTTTGATCAGTTTAGATGATCAACTCGTCGACTCTCACAGCCTGAGATGAGTCAGAGTCTGTCGTAAGATTAAGAACACATTTAAGAACAGAATGTTTTCAAGAATACCACTCATTATTAAATTATTCTTAAGAAATAGTTAAGAAAAAATAGAGTCCTTAAAAAGTTCTCTGAAGAATAACAATCTTTCGTAACTTTTTTCTTAAGAATGAAATTAAGAAAAACACAGTTAATAAGATTTTGTTTCTTAAGACACTTTTGTGAATCCAGTCCCCTGATGTTGGATGATCAGTTGTGGATAGAGCTGGGCGATATTGCAAAAATATAATATTGCGATACATTTTTTTGCGATTTTCTTTTTTTTTGCGTTAAATTTTACGATACACCATATGTCATGATATTTCATTTTTCAGACTGATCAGTTGGAACAGAGAAAAAAGGCCAGCAGTGCTACATTTAAAAAACACTGTCAAAAACCGTGAACACAGTCATTTTTATTCAGTATTTGGCTCTAAATCCAGTTAAACAGACTAAGCTTACTCTAATGTAATGAAAGATGCTGTTGGTCAGTGTCTAAAAGTACTGACGATATACACAATATGTTTAGAAAAGCAAACTGTATTGTATTGTGACTTAATTTACCACGATAACGATATATTGTCATATTGCCCAGTTCTAGTTCTGGATCACTCCAACTCATCCCAAAGGTATTGGATGGAGCTCCATCACTCCAGAGAACACAGTTCCACTGCTCCACAGCCCAGTGGGGTGTAGGTTCACTGGTGGTTTTGGATAGTACATAAAATGTCTATATTTGTGTTGTAGTGATGGTGACCCCTGGTTCCTATCACCACCACTGTAAAGAAATATGAACCATTTCACACCAAACCACTCTGAATCACTCTGTTTACATCTCCCGTTATGGAGAAGTTTTGTAAGATAAGTGAAAAAATCAATAGCAATAAGCAAGAATATTAACATATTAATATATAAAGACTGCAATATGTGAATTAATATATTCTATCACAATCAAAATATGTATGAATATAATGACACAATTAGTGCTGCCGGCTTTCTTATTCAGTTTATTTCTCAGTCAGTGACCCAAAGCAGCTCTTCAGGAACACTGAGAGGAACCGAGACTGAATTCCTTCTGTAAAGGTGTGTCAGAGATTCCTGACCTTCACAGACATGTTCCGGAACGCAGCTTTGTCCGAGCGGGTCTGAAACACCTCGCTGATTATCTGCTCATCTCTCTAGAGACACATGAGTACATAAAGCAGATGAAGCAGAGAGGTAACCTCATATTTCATATTCAGTGTGATTCATTTAGTGTGAGTGAATGTTTAAAACAGCGCTGCCCAAACTGTGAACTGTCAGGACACAAACCCCTTCACCTCAACCCCACCCCATAAGAGAACAAATATGTCTTTATAGTCTATACAGCACTGAGCAAAAATCACCCTACATTTCATTCATTTACAATCAAAATAGCCATTAAGTACAAGTTATTCATTTTTCAGGAGATATTTGTGAGGAAATTAGATAGAAGACAATCTACTTGCACAAAGAAAAAATATGTGAAAAAACTGCTGTTTCCCAAAGTTCAAAAAATAATTCAAAACTACAGAGAAAATTTGACTCCTAAAAACCACCTGAAAGACCTGGTAGACACTAAAACTGCCCCATCAGATAAAAAGCACATAAAGTTTTCATCTGTGAGAGAGAGGAGAGAATCAAGCTGCTTCAGATCTGAAAATATCCACAGGTGTTTCTGTCCATCCTTCCACTGTGAGAAGACGACTCAGCGCTATGGGTCTGAAAGGATGTGTTGCTGTCAAGATGAACCTCACTGAGAAAAGGAGATGTCAAACAAAGAAGCTGAACAATGGATTGACCACCCCAGAGTCCAGACCTTAACATCACTGAATGTGTTTGATTACTTCAGAAAATCATCAACCAGCTTCTAAGACTGAACTTTGGAGGTGTGTCTGCAGATTCTCTGAGAAACTAAAAATGAGTCTCCTGAAAAGAATGGAAGCTGGAATAAAGGGAAAGACTTCCCGAATAGTTTGTACTTAATAGCAGTTTTAACTGTAAATTAAATAATGAAGAGCTCTCTGACCTTTTTTCATGGTACTGTATAACTTCTTCAGTTGTGTATTTGAAGTAACTGCTTCTTTATATTTTACACTGTTTTGTCATTTCGGCTCTCTGCCCACCACTAATATTACACTCTGGACCCCCCCAAGACAGAAAGGTGGGCAGGCCTGGTGTTCAGTGTACAGCAGGAGGTCTTTAACTCTGGACCTGAGGCCTGAAGTCCAGCACAGTCAGGTGATTTCACTGGTCAGACACTCCTGACCCAACCCACCTGTCCATTATCAGCTTTAATGGAGTGTTTGAGCAGGTAAATCAGCAGACTGTGCAGAACCCCGACCCTCCAAGACCAGAAGTGAAGACCCCCGCTGTGTAGGGTGAGAGTGGATATGGACCATTTTACTGAAAAAAAAAATATATTAAAAACAACAAAAAGTATTCAGATACTAGTTATTTACAAGCATACTGTTCTGATCTGTTTAAACCCAAGACATTAATATAGACAGTGATAATCTAAATTTATACAAAATCGTCATTTATGGAGTGCGTGTATATATATATGTGGTGTGTACTGTGTGTGTGTGTGTGTGTGTGTGTGTGTGTATATATGTGGTGTGTACTGTGTGTGTGTGTGTTACACTGACTGCGTGTGCCAGTCTCGTCCTCAGCCTCCTGTTCTCCTCTCTGAGCTGCAGGATGCGCTCTCTGTTCTCCTTGAGGGTGCTTTGGGAGCTCTCATAATACGCGCTTTTTTCGCCCTCTGGTGGCCAAGAACAGAACAGCCGCTCAGTGGCACTGTAACGTTGCTCCACAACAAAACAGAGAACTAAGAGACACAAAGCTGCGCTAAAGTTAACAACTGACTGATATTAGCTATAAAACACACACTGAGCTATTTCAGTCCATCATCTGCACTTCTGCTCTCTTAATCAGTGAAATTCAATCAGTCTGTACGGCTTTATAATAATGACAGAGACAAACTCTCACCGAGCTGCTGGATTTTTCTCTGTAATTCGGCGATTTGATCGTGAATCGGAGGTTTGATGCTGCCTGGGCCGAAAGTGCCCGACATTATTCAATATTATGATCTTTGTGATCTTCACGCTGCGGTCCGGCTTCACTGCTGAGTTCGTTTACTTGTTGTCTTGGTAACTGGCTTTTCCACTGTGGATCCGCGGAGGCCCCGCCCCACCTCCCAAAACCAGCCAATCAGCGAACAGCTCCGGAAATTAAACACAGTTTTCACTTAAATCATTAAATCAAAACATCAACGACATATTTATTTCAACAAATAATTGTTAACAATAATAAAATGAATTATTTCAAAAAGAAAACTGTTTTAAGATGTTCTTGGAAGTGCTGAATTTTATGCAACGTTAAATGGTTCTTTCATTATCCTTTGTACATTAGTTTAATAAATTATTTTAACATTAATATAATAAATAAAGTCAGTAATATAACTGGAACCAACCTAGCAACATAAATATATATATATATATATATATATATATATATATATATATATATAATATATATATATATATATATATATCAGGCCTAGACATTATTTTTTTTCTCTTACAAGTTTGTAATATTTGTCTTATTTTATTTTACAAAATAAAGGTCTATGTGCATTTATAATCTGCTTGAGTAGATTAAAAATGAGTTAGACCTTGTATGCAGGACAGTGATCTGGGTGGTCAGAGGGTGGACCAGCAGTGGCAAACAGTCAGTGGGGTGCCAACCTTATTAAAGAAGCTCACTTTCTGGGGAATTTATTTATGAAATGACAGAAGGCCATATGTGTTAACTTTAGGGGTCCTTACCTTGATGTAATGGAGAGCTGTGTATTATACTTGGCCACAGATTCTAACTGCAGTAACTGTCTTAGGCTTTGTTCAGACTGCCTGCCTACATATGATTTCTGTCATATGCAGATTGTATCCAGATTGTTTTTTGATAGTCAGGACACCTAAAAACCACATGAAATCCAATTTCGGCAAATTTTATCCAAACCACATTTGGAGGTGGTTTGAAGAGGTACTTCAATCAGATTATTACAGATGCGTCTCAGTCTGGCTGCTCTGGACGCTCAAATCAAATTCCAAAATGTTTTGTGCGTCACTCGCAATGCGACAAACAACAATGATGTCAAATCCAGAGTGACAGAAGTGCTGGGACAGTCACCTCAAAAGATCTGCTTAGAGAAACAAATCCGATTTACCTGCAGTCTGAACACAGACTTAAATAAGGTGGAGAGAAACCAAGGAGAGTTTTGTGGACAGGTTTCTGTGCAACGTCATCACAGAGAAGGTGCTCAGCTAGGGGGCAGAAAGCAACAATGACAAGGAGTTGTTGTGCTGTAAACAGCACCAACCGCAGAGAAGATGGCTGGAGAATGTTTAATATGCAGAGGGGATCATATCCCTTTGCCAAACACCACAGAAGATGATGGATCCAGGCCATCAAAAGGGCAGATTGGGGTCTCGCTGGTCCCAGAGGCAGCAAATGTCTGTGCAGCACCCACTTCATATCTGAATGTAGTGTTTTTTTGAGAGGGTGATCAACTGTCAACACATTAGAACTGTAGTTTTAATACTGGTAGCATTTTCTGACGAGGCTGAAGTCGGCTTCCTATTTACCAGCTTCTTGTTCAAATTTTCAGGTTCCACCTTAAATGGTGTCTGGCCTGAGGTACCAGAAAGTATGTGGCACCATTTGAGGGGGAATGGAAAAATTCACACAAGAAGTTGGTGAATAAGAAGCCGACTTCAGCTTCATGTGATTTAGGTTATCAAAATATCCTACCTACAGTTTTACGTAGAGCTCAGCCTGTAAATACCTGCTATGGTCAGACATTTCCACAAGGTTTCACAATTCCGGTACGTTTCTGTTTGCTAACATTAGCTAGTGAGGTAATGAGTGAGTTAGCACTGTGTGTCATTCTTATCAATGATAGCTAAACTAAACTAAGTCTAGCTAGCCAGCTAAAATGTCTGTTTACTTAGCTTAGCAACACTAGCGGTACCACCATGATCCTGATATTGTCAGATAAAGAAAAGAATAGACAGACTCAAAACAACTAAACCAGGATAAGCTGGGTGAAATTCATAGGACATGTGAAGCTATAAGGGTTTCTGTGGTTTGGAGCTCCTATTAGCTAAACATTCAGTGATTAGCAAACTTAGTGGGGCGTTTATTATAGAGACCTGATGATTAGCCGATACTGATGGTCAACTATTGTTAGCTAAAGTTTTACATAATGCTGTATTAATATACAAATGAAAGACAAACAGATTAAATGCTGCCATTTTATTATTGAGTCAACAATAATGTGTGAACAATGCAAAATCTATGTTGATTAGAACAGCTGACTAACGTTATGTCTTGTTACAAAAACGGTTTTGCCCCCTGACTGCACACCCAGTAATGTTTGTAAACAGGGGTTGTATTACAGAAACCTCTTAACTCTGAAATCTGATCTGTTTGTTCTCCGTGACGACTTCAGTATGGACTAAATTTAGGACAGTAGCTATTACACAATAACAGTTCTTAACTTCATAATATTATCAGTAACTCCAGATAAGAAAACAGTATTACACAAACATCCTAACTAGACTAAATCTCCTGATTAAATCTCTGCAAACTCGAAAGGTAGTTTTGTTCTTTCATAAACTATATCCTTTCATACAGGTTGGCACAGGACCCATAAACGTGTGTTATATTAGGAACCTAAAAGGAAAACGACACACTTTGCTGAAATATGCTGGTCAGACATGCCGGTACAGCGCTGCACTCAGAGCACCACTTAATAGGACGTGTTATGCCATAATTGGCGGTTCACGCTGAGTGGCTACGGGTGGGCCGCACCAACAAGGATTAAGTTAAACAGAGTTTAGAGCTCATCAAGGATTTGTTAATCTAGGTTTTATTTCAAATTTAAACATGTGTAAACAAATCTGTGATTAAAGCCTGACTCTTTGCTTAAGGCCTCAACCAGCCATCATTTTCATTGACCGCCATGATGGATTCGGCAGTAAATAAACAGCAATCACATCACTGTCCACACTAATCACTGTTCACACTAATCACTGTCCACACTAATCACTGTATGTAAGGTACTTTATTCCATTTTGAATGTAAATTAGCTCAGAGCTACTTCAGAAACAGATCTCACAGAAAAAGCAGATTCAGACGTTTAAACAGTCTGTTATTAGACCCAGAGGCTCTGCGACAGCAGGGGGCGCTGTTTATTCAGCACTGAGAAGACTGCTTATAATATACACTAAAGCTGCTTATAATATATACAACACCTGTTGGTAAATTTGAATCAAAATATTTTCAGTACAGATGTTCTGTATGTTATTCTGTAAGCTGCAGTTTTACAGTAAAAGCTCCATCATTAAATGTTTAATAAAGTTAAATCTAAAGCCTAACTCGAGCATTATTAAAGTAAACTTTTAGCCTGTTAACTAATGCTAGATAGCCATCGGCCAAGCCGTTCATCCCAGACCAACAAAGCTTATCTGGAGGATATTCAGTCTTCACTAAGTGAAAAACATGCATTATTTAATCCCACTGCTCTGTTTATTTTCTTCAGTGATGCGCACAGAAGCTACATGAGTACTAACAGCGCCCCCTTGTGGGGAGAATCTTTAACCATCAATGAGTTACGACAAAGTCCCTATATAAACTTTGATGTAATCCAAATTTAAGCTTAATCCTTGTTGGTGCAACTCACCCTACATGTTCAGAAGACCTGTCACTCCAATTTAGTTGACCAATAGAAAGTGCTGGTGAATGCCCTCTTAAAGACCCACCCCTGTTAAAAAGTGCAAAAAATCAGAAGCAAAGGAAAGATTTCAGCAGCAAAAAATATTTCAGCTAAATCAGACGATCAAATGGGGAAATTAGTAATAAATTCCAGAATGAGAGAAAATGAGTATTCATCTTTTTGAAAAATAAAATGTAACTCTCATTATTTTGATTTTGACATTTGATACTTGAACCGATCCTCAGACTGGACTGCATACATTAAAACAACAAACAACGTGAGAAAAAGGTAAACAAACAGTAACAAATGATACATGTACAGTCAGAACAGATTAATATTAAAGAGTTTAACCTCTAAAATGCAAATGTAACACAAAGTAACAGTGAAACAGCCCAAAACTCACAATATTACACTCGGCACTGTTTGTCCACACTGTTAATACAAACAAAACACCTCTGATTGCTGAGTTCTCCCACTTTCTCCTCCTGTTTTTCTCCTTTCTCTCTTCTCTCTGGAGGTTTATTGTGACCTTGTTTCTTTATTCAGTTTCTTCAAGAGTCTCTCGAACATGGAGTGCGGCCTCTCTCCATTGTTGCGCTTCAGATCCTCCACTGAGGGAACAACCATTAAATCAGAGACAAAATCAGTTCAGCAGTGAACAGTAATGGTGTAAACCTCTAAGTCACTCTCACTACAATTAGAGCTAACTTTAGGATAAACACCAACAGTGTCCTAATTTCTGTTCAAGCATCCCTTCTAGCGGCATAATTCACTGCTAGCATAATGACGCTACATTATGATGCAAATCTTATCTTGACCTATCAGATCTTAACTTAGGACCAAAGACAGGAAGTCTCTGTAATACGGCCACTAATCAAGTTTAGGGGCCGTATTACAGAAACTTCCTATCCTTTTGTTAAGATCTGACAGGTCAAGATAAGATTTTTAACATTTTTTTAAATTCGTATTACAGAAGCAAATCTGATCTTAATCTAGGAATTTCATGTGATCTTACAACATCTTATCTCCAGCTAGGAAATCCTAACTACTCGATTTAAGTTGATAATCTACTGTCGTGTCTGTTACCTAGCAACCGACCATACGCACACAGCTGAAACGTAAACATGTAATCAACATAACGTTAGAAATATAAAGTTACAGCTGCTGTTACTGCCGCGGTGAGGCTCAGAAGCAGAGCCTGGATGAGGACGGCGAAAGAAGCAGCGTGGCAATTAGCGGCAATAACTCAAGAAGGTGATGATGTGCAGAGAGACCCCTGAGCAATTGGAGGTGGAACG